CTCCAGATTTGAATTAGCCATTTCTCTAAGGGGTCCCACACCCTTTTTTTTTTTTTTTTTTTTTTTTTTTTTTTTGAGATGGAGTCTTGCTTGCTCTGTTGCCCAGGCTGGAGTGCAGTGGCGCAGTCTTGGCTCACTGCAACCTTTGCCTCCGGATTCAAGTTATTCTCCTACCTTAGCCTTCCCAAGTAGCTGGGACTACAGGCACATGCCACTATGCCTGGCTAATTTTTGTATTTTTAGTAGAGTTAGGGTTTCGCCACATTGGCCAGGCTGGTCTCGAACTCTTGACCTCAGGTGATTCGCCCTCCTGATCCTCCCAAAATTCTGGGATTGCAAGCATGAGCCACCGCGCCTGGCCTCACACCCTTACTTTTAACCAGTATGCAATATGGAATGATTAGAGAGTACACAGGTTTTGAGTCCTGTGATCTCATGATGATCTTTTTCCCCCATACTTTTTGTTCTTTTCTTATGTGTCTTAGGATAATAACATAGAATAAAATGCTTTAAAGAAGTAACACATTAATTTATATTTTAATTACACAGTTTTGAATGACTTAATTTATTAAGTCCTATTACCTCAGGGGTCTCCAACACCTGGGCCATGGACTGGTACTGATCTGTGGCCTATTAGGAACTGGACCACACAGCAGGAGGTGAGCAGTGGGCAAGCGAGCATTACTGCCTGAGCTCCGCTTCCTGTCAGATCAGCAGGGGCATTAGATTCTCATAGGAGCATGAACTCTATTGTGAACTGTGCATGTGAGAGATTTAGGTTGCATGCTACTTATGAGAATCTAATGCTTGCTGGTCTGAGATGGAGCAATTTCATCCTGTAACACCCCCCTACCACTGGTCTGTGGAAAAATTGTCTTCCACAAAACCAGTCCCTGGCACTGAAAAGGTTGGGGACTGCTGCCTTATAGCATTTTTTGGTTTAGTAACTCATAAGTGAATTTAGTCCCTACAACACTAATTCTTCAGTATAAACCGTGAAGATTATCACAAAGTTGGATGTAGATTAGTTTTTGAATATGCTCTACAGGTAAGCTTGCTGTACTCTGGTTATTGCTTTCCACTGATCTTCTGTATTAGTCCATTTTCATGCTGTTGATAAAGACATACCCAAGACTGTACAATTTACAGAAGAAAGAGGTTAATTCCATGTGGCTGGGGAGGCCTTCCAGTCATGGCAGAAGGTAAAAGGCACGTTTCATATGGCGGTCTACAAGGGAAGAGAACTTGTTCAGGGAAACTCCCCTTTATAAAACCATCAGATCACGTGAGACTTATTCACTGCCATGAGAACAGCAGAGGAAAGACCCACCCTCCATGATTCAATTACCTCCCATCTGGTGCCTCCCATGACGTGGGAACTGTGGGAGCTACAATTCAAGATGAGATTTGGGTGGGGGCACAGCAAAACCCCTTCTCTTCCCATTCTCTTCTTAAACTTTGTATGCATGAGCCAAAACATAATTATTAAGTAGGCAGGCAGAATCATGCTGATTACAATTTATACCCTCCCACACATAATACATGCATGCAGAGAAAGACCTTTCACTGTGAGAAGCCTGCAGATTGTATAACAAAGTCAGTATTTTGCTACCTATGATATTTTCTCCATGGTTGATGGGAACCAAATCCTTTGTGGAACCATTAGTGGCAGAAATAAATACATAATAGAAACTAAAGGCCTGAGCTCTTTGCATAATGTCTTCCTTTTTTTCTTTTTCTTGAGACAGAGTCTCACTCTGTTGCCCAGGCTGGAGTGCAGTGGTGTGATCTCAGTTCACTGCAACCTCTGCCCCCTGAGCTCAAGTGATACTCTTGCCTCAGCCTCCTGAGTAGCTGGGATTACAGGTGTGCGCCACCACACCCAGCTAATTTTTGTATTTTTAGTAGAGACAGGGTTTCACCATGTTGGCCAGGCTGATCTTGAACTCCTGACTTCAAGTGATCTGCCTGCCTTGTCCTCCCAAAGTGCTGGGACTACAGATATGAGCCACTGTGCCAGGCCCATAATGTCTTTCCAGGAGACTACCTTTTACCTGCTAGTCCAACTGTAGTATGACAGTTGTTTTCTTGCCCAGAACTCCTCTCTCTGAGGTAAAGTATGTATAGGGATGATACAGGAAAAACCATGAGACCCTAGATTGTTCTGTAGCCACCATGCTTTAGACGTGGGGTGTACACCTGTGCCTTCTGCCTGTGCTTGGGCTGCTGTGACAGTACCCAAGGTTGTATTACTTCTTTGAGGATGATCAGGGCAGATGTTCCTAAATATTTCTGAATTTGCCAGGCACTTATAAGGAAATTGAATGAATTTGTTGATTTGAGTGATATCAAATTCTTTTTCTGCCATAACTTGTCAGTAAATTTTCTTATTTTTGAATGATCTTCTTTGGGTCAGTTATGAAAACAAGGCTTATGTGGTAAAGCAGAGTGCAGATGGGAGAGCTGGTTTTTAAATTGTACAGGCTGTGTATTCCTTTTCCAGAATAAGAAATTCTTATCCAAAATAAGGTCCTTCTTGGGACTAGAAGTGTTTTTTTCTGTTTTGGATGTTTTTCAGATTTTGGAATATTTACATTATACCAGTTGAGCATCCTAAATCCTAAAATCTGAAATCTGAAATGCTCCACTGAGCATATCTTTTGAGTGTCATATTGATGCTCAAAAAGTTTCATATTTCGGATCGTTTTGGATTTTCAGATTAGGGATGTTCAACCTGTGTATCGGTGCCCTAGCTGTAGCTTCACTCACTTGAGCTCTTGCAGGAAGGGGCCTGAGGGAATCTTTTTGGAGATTGCTGGCCAGTAGAACTTTTTTGTAGTATTAAAGAGAGGGAGATGTGTCTGTTTCTAACTTCCCATGGACAGGTGAATGGACAAATGAATGTATGAATCGGACAAGAGTCAAAACACAGCAAAAAAGAAAATTTCATTAAATGTACTCAGGGATTGGGAAACAAGTTTTTTAAAAAGTTCATTAAACTTTTGCTCAAAAGTTTTGAGTGCAATTTTGCTCAAAAAATAAAGCGTTGTTTACAAGTTTTTCTATTACTATATTTTTATGGAGTCAATTTTTACAAACTGAGGATATATTCTTACCTTTAATCGTTAATATCTTTGTAATATTTTACTTTGGTTTTCTGAGTCGATATTATAATATTAATTGTCTAGGGATGGTTATGTTAATTGAACCTACTGGATTAAAATGTTTTAGGAAAGATTTAATAACTTGTTCTGCCTTGTATAAGGTGAAGATCTTTTACTAAGCATGATCTTTGTGTTACTTTTAATTAGAACATTAGACCTATCAAATATAAACATGGTGAAACCGCTAGAGCTCTTTCACTTCATTCAGGTCTCTGCTCAAATGTTGCTTCCTCTAAGCAGTATTTCCTAATCACCCTACTGATAAACTAGCCACACCCTCTCCATTATTCTCTCATTTACTTAACCAACTTTCTCATTCTTTCAATATATTTAATTGCGCTTCTCACTAGTCGACTTTTGATTGTGTTCACTGTTCTGCCCTTGACACCTAGAACAGTTTCTGGCACTGTGAAAGGGACTCCATAATGACTTGTTGAATGAGTAAATTGTTCATCATTTGTCACCCCGCTAGGATGTAGGACTCATGATGGTGCCTGGCACGAGATGGGCATTCCAACATTTGTTTGAAAGAATAAAAGGAATGTTTACAAGTAGTGATCAAATTCATTTTTTTATTTGTATATATGTACATGTGAACATTTAAGTTTTAATTATATGTTTAAATTGAACATAGATATTTCTCATCTAGAAATAGATTCTTAAAAAGGATGTGGTATTCAAGTAACATCCAGAACCTACAAAATCTGCTGCTTTTTTGCTAATGTGGATGGGCAGATTTACCTGTAGGGTCACAGTTTTTTTCAGTGACTCAATAACACCTGGTGTATTTTAATATAGTGCCCATAGACATCAGAGTGCTGTATGTGACAAACTCATAAAATGGATTAGTATCTGGATTGGTTTTCTATTTTATTTTTTATTTTTTTTAGAGCTAGA